ATTTGTTGAATTATGGGGATCGTGGATGAATTTTCTTGATGTAGATTTTATTTACATGCTGATGTTCTTTTAGAATCAGAGGCGTAGTTGATAACGCGATTGCATCAGAGGAGAAAACACTATGTCTGAGTCTCACTTCAAACATTAACATCAAGGTGCGTTTATATCCATCTACCGAGTCCCACGTTCTGACTTCTACTGCTATCCATAACCTGGTTATATTAAAGATTTAAATTACATAGATTTACAGAACAGATATACTTATCAGTTACACGAATGTGTGACATAACAACCAATACAATTTTGTTATCCCCAAATCTAGGTTAATGAAAGCACTGACCTTTAGATGAAAATTTGGCAAAAATGTATCCAATTGCGGAATTCATACTACTATCAATCTTAGTCTTTATAGATTAAAGCAAACAATATATATATATACGTAAGAAAATAAATGATAGTTACCTTATTAAAACATTAATCTACAAACTGAAGTTAACTAGCGATAATGAGGCGAATACTATTTCTGAAAAGTTTTTTCTCCGTACTACCACAATATGCTTTTTTACTACTAAATGGATATTGAAAACTGTAGTTTCAACTGGTTTTCAGTCATATAAATTATAACCTTGGTTTAAGTCCTTAATAATTTGATAAGCTTATTCTAGGTGGTCTGAACTAGACGCATATAGCTTCTGACCTGTATCCGAAACATGTCTATCATTTAAGTATATATCCACTCCAAGTTTGTTGACCTGTTCATAGACACATAGTAGTGTTGCTCAGTCATAAGTATTCAGTTTTCACAACAGTGGATTTGTTTTGATTTCTAGGCATTTGTGAATTGTCATGAATGGAAAATGAAGGATTTACGAAGGTTTTGACCGTATTTTCAAAATTTCAGATTATTAACTCAGGTATATTTTGAACTACTTGTCTGTTCTGACTACAAATAATTTAGAAAAATGTTTGTTTTATATGAAACTATATTAACCTTAAGTGGTAGAAGAATAAGTTATTTAGAACTTTACCAGAGTAACTCACTTACTTACGTCTGTTACTCCTAATGGAGCATAAGTCGCCAACCAGCATTCTCCATCCCACTCTATCCTGGGCCTTCTTTTCTAGTTCCATCCAATTCTTGTTCATTTTTCTAATGTCTGTCTCCAATTCTCGGCGTGATGTGTTCTTTGTTCTTCCTCTCCTCCTTCGGCCTTGAGGATTCCATGTGAGGGCTTGTCTTGGGACTCAGTTCGGTGCTTTCCTCAATGTGTGTCCTATCCACTTCCAGCGTTTCTTCCTGATTTCTTCCTCCACTGGGATCTGATTTGTGCTCTCCCACAGTAGGTTGTTGCTAATAGAGTCCGGCCAACGGATCCGAAGTATTTTGTGTAAACAACCGTTAATAAATACCTTTACCAGAGTTATCTGATGTGAAAACATAAGAAAATATTTATTGACATTTAGCAGCCTGAATTGCTTTTTTACAAGTAGATTTTGCACCGATTTATTTGAAAGACATGTTTGGATTTGGTTCCGAAAAGGATACAAATTTTGTTGTGTATAGTTGTTACGACATTTCGCTAATTCAAACAGTAGAAATCTGTAAGCACTACATTATTTCGAGTGTCCAACTTTTGAATAACAAGATATATTCTTTGGCACTATGATGATTATATAATTATGAGTTAGGTAATAGGTCGAAGTAATCTATAAGCAAATATGTTGGTTTCTGTTATGACCTTGATTTGTCTACCCACTTTTTGGTGCCGAGAATATTTGTCTAATCTAGATCTCGACCTTGATGCGATAGGCTGATCGGCTTAACCTTGAGACTAGTACGCGTGAGTTCGAGATGGGGTAGAGAGAAGAAAACTATTCTGTCACCTGATTGGTGGGCAAGCACACGAATGAGAGAAGACAAGACAACTGGAACACTACTCGATCTATTTCCCTGACCACTGAACTCACTGGATTCACTGAATTCAGATTAGTGTAAAAAGGTACATGAATAAATAACAGAATAACCCGACCGCAGCGTACAATAATTAGGAAAAATACAATTGTGTCCAAAGCTGGGAATTAGAGTAGAAAACAGGGTGCAAATAATATGTTTAAATTACAATAGCTTCGGAACAGAAAAAGGTATGGCAGTGAATGATACTTCGAACGAAAGCTTATGTTCTGTAGAATAGATTAGGGACAAAAATAAGTGTCAGTGTTTTACAAGCTTTGAATAAAATGAAATAACATCCCGAAAAATAGCCTTCGTAGTTTGTCAGGGCTTCTTGTTTCCCGGTTCACATCAGTTTCTTGTGTACTTTGGAGTATACATGATATAGTAACTAAACTAACTCATTTATAAATATTGATCCTTGTTTGTAAAATCAACAAAAAACAAAAGGCTCATCTTTTATAGTTTTTTTTAAATAACTAAATATATATTCTGAAAACAATTACGTAATACATGCTGGTTAACATGATGAGGTTGATACAGATGGCAACATTGCATACAAAGGACAGACATATGATTTTAGACTGCTTGATGTGTTATAATTTGAAAACTTGATGTATATTAACGGCACATTTTTCTCATGGATTGCGACAGTGTGAGGTATCAGTTGGGAACTATTAATTATTTATAAGGGGACTAGAACATCCTGTTGATGTACGAAGCGTGTATTTAGGGTCATTTCTAGTCCTATGACAGAGTAACTATTATTATCTACAGGTAGAGAAAGGAAAACAGAAACAGAGAGCACAGAGCAGCAATACAAATGATAACTGTGATATGCCTACATTTACATGCTTCAGGTTGTCTTATAATCTAATGTTTGGGTTAGATATTATTTTAATTAAAGTTTACCGCGGATAGTATAAATATAAAATATCGACAGGAGGGAAAGTTTAATCTGTATGCTCAGTAGTAATGATTATAAAACGTTTCATTTTCCTATAATTTCACATGTGGAATAAAAGATATTTAAAGGTGAAAACAAATTTAAGTCACTTTCAGAGGAGAAGTACAAATTGATACAACGAAATAATGATAGATGTGATGCTTTTTCATGAATAGACTTTGGACAATTATTCCAGTCTCGAAAAATTACTAGTAAAATAATTCATACAGAAAAAAGTCTTAGAATAAAACCTTTTCAATTACGTTATATGTTTAGGATGAATGCTCTGTCGTTTAGACTAATCGCCTCCTGATACAAAATATCAGTGAGTAGATCCAGCTGATTGATGTAAATGCCCATCACAGTACAGTAGTGAATAACGATGTCACTATATTAGTCAAACAACAACCGACTTTCAGTAGATTCAATCTAAACTTTACAAGTGACCAGTAGAATTAAATAGATACCCATCTCACGTTGGTTTAAACAGTCAATAAAGAGTATGAATCAATGCTAATTTTATCTTAATGACACCAGTGTAATAACCGAAGTTCATTATGGATTGTTGGTTATAAATCGAATCGTAAGCGATTTTAATTGTTAAATCCTAACCAACTCAACGGAGAGAATACTTGATGTACCGAAAACATCTCTTACGACTACAAAGTAGCTACTCTCATATAATTGTCTCCGAATAAAATGCTTATAATATCATAATAAAAAGGGCAACAGAAAACTTCCGTATCAAATGTTCAAAAAGTTGAATTCCAGTGCCAAAATAAGAAATCCAATGTCTACATAGAAAAAAGCAAACACAAGAGGACTTGATGGGTTATTTTTAAAACATCTAAATCAGAATTTGTTGTAGTTAGTAGGAAGTCAATAATACTACACTTGTATGTCGTTCCTGTTAAATTGTTCTATTTAGACATCTAAAATGTTATAGTGTAAAATTATGCATAATACTTATAACTCTTGCTATTCAACTCCAGTATTTATTCGAACATTCAAAGCCAATGATATTCTGTGTTGATTAGTAAACCATTGTTTTATAGGTTATATTAACATGTCCAAGTACCCTGCATAAAAGTATTTCATTCTTTAACTCCTTAATACATTCAGCTGTTCAGTTAGTGTATTTATATTTTCAAATAATTCTACTTGGGATTTGTTAGTTTTGGATTTGATAAGTTTTCGTTATATAGGGAACGATACGCTAAAAGTACTGTTCTTCCTAAACTTTTAAATTACAAAAATCACTTTCATATCTCGTTCGTAGTATGATATCTGAATTTAACAGATCCTGTTAATCAAAGAATACACTATAAAAACTTATCTAACTGAATTGGTAGTGTAGAGTATAGACTGCATTTGGGGTTGTACGTTTAGATAGAATCATCAAGGAATTATTCATGGGCAATTTGCAGGAAAATAACACTTTATTTGAGATCGAGTCTACGTTGACCGTTATTCCATTTAATGACATCTGTATACACTTGATACTCTTAGCTGAACACCTTTGAATAGGTAACTCCTGACCTATAACACTCGTTTCTGACTATTATGAAATATACAAGGATAAGAGTTAAATTTACGTGTAATTCTTTCTTCTTTCCCAGCCATATCACTGTTCATTATTCAGTTCTTTACACGATGTTACTTATTAGAATCAAGTATATTTATGTGTAAATGTCCTAGAAGCGAAAATTAATCAATATTTTCAAACTTTATTCTTGTATATAAAATCTTGTCATTTATCGTATCCTATTTTGTATATGTATGCATAACTACATCTACAGTGGGGAATGAAAACTTTCTGTACAACCTGATTGGGCCATTGGAATTTGAGTGGTTGTATTTGACCATCTGAAATCTAATAAATGTTTCCCTAAATCACTGTTAGTTTGTATTTTTTTTTGTACTCACATATATACGTATAAAATGAAAAGTTCATTTCTCCGCCCTCATTTATTTCTTATAACACTTGCGCACTAACTTTGTCAACTATAAGCTCAGTTTAATTTAGTTTAAGTAAACAAAACTTAGATTTTAGTATCTAGTATCATAATCTGTTGTTTTTAGGAGAAATAGTATTTAGTTCATATGCTAAAATATTACACTTGTACATTTTTATGTTACATTTGTCTCATCATTGTCACCGAGGCAAGAACAAGAACAAAGGATTATGATAAAAACTTGGGCGTAAAAGCAGTAACAAGACTGGTAAGTCTTTATTTAGTTTGTTTTGTTTTTTTCCTTTAGACCTTAATAATTAAGCCAATTCGTCAAATTATTGTCGATTTTGTCATATCATCATTAAAAGTCCATCTAACATTGGATTGAGAAAGAACTATAACGAGGTTTTTAAGATATTTTAAAATACCTACTAAGAAAAAAACATTTTCCTGTATTATTTACGAGTTGATGAGTTAGGATGACATTGCAATCTTAACGAACATGGATGTTTTCATTAAATGTCACACATATTTTTGTTCAAAATAGGGAAGAGACAGCTTAAAGTGAAGTTGCTCTATTCCAGAAATAGACGATCTCATTATTTCATCAAAGTTGCTGAACATTACATATATGTTTCTACATTGATTGGGATCGCTAAACTAGCCAAATAACTTATTTTCGATATAAGATGGTCATAAACAATCACTGGGCAAGGTTGAACTTAGCTTGTTCCATGGCTGTCATTCCTCATCCAAGTGTATTTACCAGTCATGAATGAAGTGGATCTCCTCGTGAAACTAGAATCGGTGCCACCTATTATCACAGTCAGAAGTGTCACTCAGCTGTTCCATAGAATTAAGGCAAGATTAACGGCTGAATAAATACTCCATTAACTATTATTCAGTATTTAAACAGTGTAAATGCTTAATATACTGCTTTATCGTATTCTATTACGAAGTAGATTCATTCTATCTATTCGTAAAAATGTTTATACCTAGGAAAAAAAATTCTTTTTTTGTCATTCAAGTTTGATTATGCGATATATATATATATATATATATATATATATATATATATATATATATATATGATGGATTGATATTTTGCAAATTAACGATTTACTATATGGTTCTCAGATTTTATTGAGATGCTCTGTAATTTCGCGTCAAGCACATTCGATTGTCCCCACTGGTGTTCTGTTCACTACAGTAGTAGTAGTGTTATATGATTTTATTACATTCCGATAGAGTAGGTATTTCGTGTATTTATTCGATATATTTCTGTACAGCAGATTACCACATTGAAATAGATATAGAATGCTCTTGAAGTTTAGATTATAACTTATTAGTTAATAGTTTCATTTATATGAATCATTTAATTGTTTTACAAAAGCAATTAAACTTATGTGTAGATTTGAATTTGTAATTCAATATGCATTTTATTTATTCACTTTAAGACCAGAATGTTTTTACTTCAGATTTTACAGAAATTATCAAAATGTAACCATCCATAGTCATCAAAACAGCTATAGAAATATAACATAGAAATAGTGATATAATGGTCAATAATCACCTAGTTACTTATTAAATTCGTACGCTAAAATAATATGGTTATGTTTTGGGCTATTAATATTTGAATCTCAAAAATGAAGAGATTTTTCAGTTACAAACATGAAAGTTTATCGATTGATATAGTCTGAAATATGTCATATATATGTCAATTCATTTAGCAATTAACTTTTGGCTTATGTTGAAGCAACTCAGGGTATGTTTTAAGGTAAAAAATAGCATAAAGGTAAATGATTATCGTTCTTTAAGGTCAGTGATATAAGTTTTATATAGGAATCTTAATTAGGCTTCAGTTTGCCAAACATTTATTGTACCTTACGAGAGAAGTAATTCATGATTACTTTTATTTGTATTTACCTTCGCTAACCTACATTTCCAGAGCTTAAAAGAAATGCACCAATTAAAATTCTGCAGCACTCTTCTGTAGTCCGAGTTATTATTATTATTATTTGAACACATAAATATTGGCACAGAGGGGCACCAAATACATATGCGCCACACAAGTCACTTCATTTATGTGTGGGCTGTGATAATGCCCGGGTGCCACACCCGGAGCCTTCGACCTAAGGGTCTAATTCACAAGGCAGTGTAGCAACGTCAGGAGATTCAGTGCCATGGTAACCAGTGAGCAATAATTGGTTCATACGCCATTTGTTCCCCCAGGATCCCGATTCCTATGTATACCATTAGTTTGGAATAAGGGTTTTCCAACTTCCTTAGGTAACCTCCATATCCACCAACCTGGTTGAAACACTGGACATTTGCTTTTTGTACTCTAAATTTAGTAATTAACACTCCTGCCACAAAAAGGCAGAAAGTTGGACTTTCCTGGCAGTGGCTGTATACGCGTGGCCATGTGAGAGCATTTGAAGGGAGAGCGGACTCTCCCCACCCTCGGCTGTACCAGGGCATTTGGGGCATGGAGTCTGAGTATGGTAATCTGTCTGTTGACCAGCTACTTAACCTTACCAATGAGACTTCTGATCTAGCGCTGGCAATGTTGGTAACTGATGAAACAATCCTGACTCTTATTAGTTGGTCTATATAAGCACCTTTTCCTATCTAGCTATTAATTACTCATACAGAGAAATATAAACAATAACAGACCGTAAAAAGTCCCAAAGTTTCTATGGAGTTCATCAATCAACCAGTTATAATAAGGATAAAACAGTATGTCGTCTGGTCATTCAGTGGAATTTATTTATTAAACAAAATAATTAGTCTAAAGACGCCACTTATCTGTATGGTATTCGTTTATATGAGCAATGGTTGTTCTAGAATTGTAGATGCTGATATAAGATTACGAGAACAACATGATAACAGATAAATGAGGGTAAATTCTTATTTTAAAAAAACCATAATTCATTTGTAAGATGATTTAAAATTCTAGACGTACGAGAATGTATAAAAGTGTAGATAAAAATGGAACATCCTGATCAACATAAGGTTTATAAAAGTTCGTGAAATGCATGAGAAATTCCAGCATAAAAAACAGTTGATTTCCATTAGGGAAATGCTTTAAGAGAATTCTCGAATAACAGTAAACAAACTACCAAATCATGCTTTCCTTGATTGAACAAAGACCGGGTGGCAACTATTTTATGGTAAGAGATTTTTTAAAAGTATTAAATTTAGCAATTTAGGTGTTGTGGAGATTGTCAAGTTTTTGATTGAGATCATGAACCGATTGATGTTAGACCACCATTGAAAACCTGGAAGCACTGGACAGCCGTTTCGTCCTATTGTGTGACTTCTCAGCAGTGCGCATCCACGATCCCACTCGCAGGACTTGAACCTAGGGCCTTAAGTCTCGCGCGCGAACGCCTAACCCATTCGGCCACTGGGCCGGCATCCAACGGTGTTAATGTATAACCTGGGTTCGAATTCCGCGAGCGGGATCGTGGATGAGCACTGCTGAGGAGTCACACAATAGGACGAAACGGCCGTCCAGTGCTTCCAGGTTTTCAATGGTAGTCTAACATCAGTCGGTTCATGATCTCAATCAAAAAATTAAATTTATATTTATTTCATTATTTCGTAAAATTAGGATATTTCGATTTCATTATAGATGTCCATAAATTACACCGAAATGGACTTTAATAATAGATTCCTATAAGGTAGACAATATTGTTTGGTATTTGAGCCAACCACTTCACTTTTTTTGTGAATTGATCGATGACGAATATATTTAACAATAAGCATTAAATCTAAATGAAACATTGTAGGTTAATGAACTGAAGTATGTGGTAACTTATCCTTGGTATTTTAATATACTACTACTAAGTTATATCTTCCTCACAATTTATATAAATGACCATTTTTCTCATTTAACTTCCTATATTTCAGTGTGGTATGGAAGGAGAGGAATGCATGGATGATTTCAATTGTTGTGAAGAGTATGAATGCAGCCCTGATTGTAAGTAAGATTAAGTTTATTATTATACAGAAACACGTAGTATGTTGGTAGTATAAATAATTCATTGTGAGTATCTCATAAAAGGAGATTATGTAATAATGTAATCTAATTACATAAGTATGGATGTAAGAAATGATAGATTAGTCCTTAAAACACTGAGGTTGCAGATTTGACCTAGGAAAGGCCTACTGCAATTTGACAACCAGGTATTATTACTAATAACGATATAATCAATAATGGTGAAAGCCGAATACATGAACCACCGGTTTACAGAAACAATTTTAATTTTATAGCTTTCTAAAGAATGTTTGTATGACAGATGAAATATTTAGGACTTCATAAAAATTAAAACTTTGATTATATAAACTAACAATATTTTTACGAAATAAGTAGCTTTTTTGTGCACAGCTTTCATCACGAGTTGGTATCAGTTGAAAATTTAAAAACCCAAAATAAATCATAGTATTGTCTTATGAAGTAATTCTCTATGTTTTTATTATGACAAATGAAAATGTTCAGAACTATTCATTGAGTTTTGTTATGTTATAATTAGTGCAAAATAATAACATATATGCATTGAAAATGCATCTTTTGATTTAAACATAGTCGATACTCATAGCTGTTATATCTTTTTATTGATTTCAACTTGTAATGTTACTCATTCAAATGTTATGCTGATTGTTAATAAATCATATACTGAATCTATAGTAACAGTCTAAGTATTGTTCAAAACTATTAACATGTTTTACATGCATCGAAATATGATAAACATTATTTTCTTATACTCCTACCATATTAAATCGAAACTGTTCATTGAGAAATGGAAATTTCGATATTGTCATGTTCAACATTAAAATTATTCAAGATTGCTTATTATGTAAGAATGTTTATTTATTGTAATGTCAAAAGATTATATTAGATCATTTATCAATATCAATATAAGGAATATTTCTTGTAAATCAATTATTTCGACTCATCAGTATAGGGTTGTGGAGATAATTAAGTTTTTGATTGACATCATGAACCGACTGATGTTAGACTACCATTGAAATCCTGGAAGCACTGGACGGCTGTTGCGTCCTATTGTGTGACTCCTCAGTAGTGCTTATCCACGATCCTGCTCCTGGGTTCGAATCCCGTGCATTGCTGAGGAGTCTCACAATAGAACGTAACGCTCATCTAGTGCTTCTAGGTTTTCATTGGTGGTCTAACATCAATCGGCTCATGATCTCAATAAAAAAAAATATTTCAAATCAGATTCACTCGTCTCATTAATAAATGTATGTATTTCAATAATACACTTATTAAAGTTTTATTTTCAATGCATTTCATTTAATCACGTTCAGTTTTATGACCCGAATTCGGAAAACGTTTAACCATTGTACATTATTTGTTTATTTTCAGAAATTTTAATCATTTTATAACACTTGATATTAGGATTTCAACTATAGATTAAACGGATTCATTTAGTGTACTTTGCATTTTTAGTTAGTAATATTATTTAGATCACTTTAGTAGGTTGATTCAATATACATTCTTATGTTTAGTTCAATTACTTTATATTATATTCATTTGTTATAATAGTCTACTTGTTAGTAGACTAAATATGCTTCAAATTTCAGTTATTTTATAATTAAATCAGGATAAATACTCAAAACTACATTTCGTTTCCTACAGTTAAATAAGGATAGTAGCTAATTTCAATATGCTTTGAAATCTGTTTTTTTTTCTTAAAAAAAGTCGAAACGTAAGCTGTTCTCATCACCAGCGTTAGGGGGATATATTTCTTCTACGATTAAAATATGTACAATTATTATTACTATTATTTACTCACTTTACTAATTACTTAGATTCAACAACGCAAGTTATTTTAACTGCACCTATATTATTGATTTTCAAATGACTAGTATCTAAGACATTTTTTAGTTTTGAACATTCAACAGCTGCTCATCTTTTTTTAAAATAGAATATTTATCATGCGTAAAGTGATATTAGCAAATTTTTGATTTAACCGATATTCTTTTGTAGGAAATATTTGAGCTTCAATGTTCACTATAACTTATAATGTGTACTTGTAACTTCGGGGTTACTTTTTAAATGCTTCATCATATCTCTAATTAAATATTCTGGTTTAGTTTTTTTTTAAAAAATAGTAAAACGTTTATTCTAGCAAATTTATTTTCATTTTGTTTAAATATACTTATTGTACAAATTATAAAGTAGTTAGTGTTTGTATAGACTTTTATCATAATTTATAATCAACTAAATCTTTTGAAATTATTTCAAATGAATCAAGAAATCATTTAACATTGAAACTTGTTTAAATATATTTTTCCCCGTAACCTACAAATTTTCACTATCCCTAACCTTTGTTTGATGTACATTAAAGCATATTGAAATGGACCTTAATAAAGGAATATAAATATCTTTTACCAATATTAGTTAAATTAATAGTAGTGAACATGATTTATTCACTTGAAGAATAATATCCAACTTCTTAAAGAACTCATTATTCTATAAACAATCAATCGATATTTCCATAAATTATCTATCAATTTATGATATTTGTTATCTGTATAGTTGCTATATGTATGTAGAAAATACTGTTTTGTGATATAATCTACATTGATGATCATATGGCTGATTTACTTAAGTAATATATTAAGATTATTCATAAATTTTCTTTAAATATGATTTTTTAAAAAGAATGCTTATTTTGAATTATTTATTTTTATTTCAAATGATAGTACAATGTCAACTTAGAAATGCTAAAAATAAAATTGTTGGATCATATCGAAATTTATGTGTAGCTGATTATGATTGTCCACCAGGATGGTGTTGTGAAGGCAAACTATATGCACGTCGTTGTACACAAGATTGTAATAGAAAAACTGAACCAGATGTTATTCCAGCTGGAAGTTATTATGGACGACAATTTTGGAATTTATGGGCACATAAACGTCATATGGATCGTAATCATTATTGAACATTTAATGGATAAATTAATCAAAAATATTATTCCCTTATTTATTCACTAAACAATATTTGAAAAGTTTAATTTGGTTGTGATAAACAGTAATGGTTGTGATATAACCGGTTGTGAATAAACTTCATTCATTTGAATTTTAAAAGAAAGTTTAAAACTGTGTTTACTTAGAAATCAATTAAATTATTCTCATTATCACTGAGTATTTATCAGTTATATTTATAGTGAAACGCCTCTTAGTCAGTCGTACATAATGAAGAATCTATCATATGTATATTAGTCCAAGTTACTACATTACATCAGTACAACGAGTTGCCAGAATAGTGTCAGTAGCAACAGAATTAGTGGTAGTAGCAAATATTAAGGACCGAATATATTTATCAAGAAGTATGAATTGATATGATATAAAAATTTTTTTGGTTGATTATAAAACTTATGTTTACAAGGGAAACAAAAAGTTAATACATATGCACCATTGTGAAATATAATAACCCATGCCAACCAAAGTCTCTAATGATTGCACGTGATAACCAAGATGAAATTAACCAGGCAATCTCCACTTAAATAGCATGTCTCATTCCAAAAGTCAGTGACTTCATGAACAACCACTAGCTGTCTCTCTTACGCCGGCCATTATTATACATCCAGGTAGGTGGTGTTTCGACATATGATGATTCACTATACTTAACTAATACCTAGTCTAATCTCAGCGTTTATCACCGAGTAGTTCCAATTTACGTGATCAAAACTTCGAAGGTCTCTGTGAGTGTAATAACCCACATCTATCTCAATTTTTGAAGATCATGTTTCATAGCTATAATGTAAAACTACAGAATTCTGAGCAGTAAACTTATCCTTTGTTGGGTGACAAATAACTTGCCTACATCTCAAGTGACGTGAGCTTGCAAAACTCAGCCGAGCTATCTGAATCCACACCGAGAGTTCGCCAGACACTGGCCTTGTAGGACTGACCAGACTTCTATGATAACTGAAACAATTGACTAACTAAATCACTTCAATCTATATCACTAATTAAGGTACTGACATAGGGCAGTCCTGAAGCAATGTTTTTATTTAGTGGGAGAGAATCACATCCTAAACATTATTGAACTGTTACTTAAGGTAGTCAGAGGACTCTGATTTTTTCATTGTCCTTGACAAACAAGATTATATTATTTATTTATTCGAGGTCAACATTTGGATCACTTTTAGGATATCAATTCCAGAAAAGTTAGACAATAGGAACGCTGTCTCTAAAAGAATATCTAAAAAAAATTTGAATAAAACTGTTGAAAACAAACAACTCAGACGAACGCCACTTGGATTTATCGAGTCCGATGATTGTTCACCATGGGATCTGACTTCACCACTGACGTTCGAGCATACAGTTTGTACATAGTTGCTTTACTTCTTTCTTTAATAAGTCATGCTTCACGTTCTTTTCAAGAACATTTAAGAGGAAGAACGAGTGCTGACGGACTGGAAAGAAGGATACTTCGCCAATATACCAAAAAAGGAGATCTGAGCAAACGTGAAAACTACAGAGGCACCACAATACTGTCAGTACCAAGAAAAGTTTTCAACAGTATGGCTTAAAGGGATGAAAGACATATAGCAACTCACGTTCAATTGAGTTTGCTCTCACCTAATTCGGTTAAGCCCTTTTATTAACTTTATTAAACGGACAAAGTCACCTGCACTATAATAACTTATTGTATCCTTATTACTGTTGCGAATGTATGTACCTTTATTATTGTTATCCTTGTATGAATATGTATGCTCGGCAAGCCTTACTGCCTACGCATTTATTCACGCTACTAGCTTTACTATTAACCGCTTAATTGACTCGATGATTCATTAATTTCACTATGTATATATATGTCCATGTTATTCATATTCATGACTCGCTCGCTCGTTCATCCACTCGCTCGATCGCTCGCTCTTGCCCTTGCTCTCTCTCGCTCGCTCGCTTGCCTGTTTGCCTTTCGGCATAACTATTTCATGCTTGCTTAACGCATCTGTAATTTTGGATATCTGTGTGTGGTCCCTTAATAAACGTAATTAACGTTTCGTATTCGCCTTCTGATTAATATACCGTTGGAGCATTATTTGGTGACGGTTACCGGGACGAACTGTATACGGAGTTTAAGGAATATATCGAACACCGACCACCACAGACACAATAGACGTTGAGCTTCGAGATCTACAGGCCAGATTCTGTAGGTATCAGTCGTGCACAGACAAAGTCATGACACTGTGGATCATCACTGAACAATCAGTCAAATGGCACTCGTCACGATACATCAACTTCCTTGACTGTGAGAAAGCATTTGACATTGTGGATAGGAAAACATTAAGGAAACTTCTTCGACAGTGTGGAGCACCTGAGAAAATCGTCAAAATCATCCGGAATTCAAACGACGCATTACGGTGCAAAAGCGTGTATGGAGGACAGTTGACAGACGCATTCCAAGTAAGGAGCAGAGTCAGATATGTTTATTTACTCTATCCCTTCCTCTTTATTCTGGTAGTTGACTGGAATATGAAGACCTTGACATCTGAATGGAAGGATGGAATTCAATGGTTAGGTTGGATGCAGCTAGACGATTTGAACTTTGCAAATGATCTAGCCCTTATATCCCATCCACACCAATAAGTGCAGGTCAAGACGACTGGTGTAGCAGTAGCCCGTGCATCAGTAGGCCTTAACATACACAAGGAAAAAAGCAAGATCCTCAAGTACAATACAGAGAAGACCAACACAATCACACTTGGCGAAAAAGCTCTGGAAGAGGAGCAAAGTTTTACGTAGCTGGTCAGCAGCATCATTGATGAACAAGGAGGATCCGATGCAGACGTAAAGGCAAGGATTGACAAGGCAAAGACAGCATTTTCACAGTTGAAGAGTCCTTGGTACTAAAAATAACTGTCAACTAATATCAAAATGAGAATCTCCAATGCGAACATCAAGACAGTTCTACTGTACGTAGCTGGAACTTGGAGAACTACTACAAACATCATCGAGGGGGTGCAAGTATTTATAAATAGTTGTCTATACAAGATACTCAATGTCCGTTGGCCGGATACCATCAGCAACAGCCTACTGTGGGAGAGAAGAAACCAGTTTCCAGCTGAAGAGGAAATTAGAAAACGAAAGTGGATATAACATATATTCCGGACATCCCCAAACTGAATCACGAGGCAGGTAGTAATTCAGGATCCTGAATGGAAATTGAAAGGATTAAGACGGGACGCATTGCATCGGGAATTATGGGTAGACATCAAAAGAATGAATAGCAATCAGAAACAACTGAAAAAGTTTGTTCTAGACTGGGAGGGGTGTCAAAAGTAAGTATGTAATTTGCTGATAAATGGTATAGTTTTATGTTTATTTGGTAGTTTACTTAAATATCATAGTTATTGATCTCCAGCTACAGGTCTATTTGTTAATTTTTATTATTCTTATTGTTGTCTTATTTCACTATATTTACTTCCATCTCTATAAAACGGTCAAGAATACAAGCATTTCAGCCCTACCGAAGTATAGTCGGCACTTAGTTGGTTTATTGTTAACTTTTTTTTACTTTAACACTAATTGACAAGATTTCAGATTCCACATTAAATATCATTTTTGAAGCTGAATGAATCACTGAAGAAACAATGAGAAAATGAAAATTCTTAATTAATATTAAATATAAATGTTGTACAAGGTGATAGTTATTATGACTCAACAGCCGAATTTAAAGAGCTCTAATGAGATGAGTATCGTGTGTCGATTCTTCATGGAAACATCCACACTGGTGTATAAGTACATTCATGTGACAAGTTCTGAGACCTGCTTTCTGGATTCCACTACTATCTACTATCCAGATGGCCAGTTTAAACACATTACATATTTCATACCACTATTTTTCACAGATGAAAATAACGAAAATATATTTATTTCTGCCCAAGGTCAATGTAATATTATTGAAACTAAGGCTCATTACTCTGATCGCCAACGAATTGATATTTTAATATGTCTTGATGTATATATTATGGTACAGCATTCAATTTTGCATTATATTAACTTGCCTCTAGCAAATTATCCGACCTTTTACTTGGGAAATAAAACTGGATACAAAATACAGCTTGATAGGTAAAAGAATTAAATCAAACTCTCTCTTATAATAAATATATAGAAAAAAAGATGTCGAGAAAAAATCTAGTTTAACCCAATGTTGACTTTGCCATAGATATCGTTCATTACCGTCCCTTTTTTCCAAAGTCTGTTTTAAACTCAAGAGGCTCAGCTTTCTGAAAAAATATTGTATATTGTCCTAATACCCAGAACCTGGTACAATCTCTTCTGTAGTGTATATATTTGACCTTATTTTAAGACAGAAAGCCAACAAATCCAGTTCATTTAGTAATTTATACATTGGTGATATACATTTTCTTTTCCCGAATGTGTGATTGAATGCCTAGACGAAATATATTCTGAATTCTTATGTGTCCTCATAGTTATCTACTAAATTTCCAAACGTTATATTTTGCAAGTTTCAAAATTCTTCTTATTACTTGTGTAATACTATACGGCACTACTTTAGATGAGAAAAAAAACACCAAACTAGAAAGTCGTTCATTTAACAATGAAATTGGAAACTGATTTATTATCGAAGATACCTCTCTAAGTTACTGAAAACCTGTTTGAATGTAATGCTGTAGTGGAATATCGAATGATTATTATTCATTTCTATTGATTTCTAATGGTCAATGTATTTTTCATTCATAAAATGACCTCATTTTCAGGTGTCGATGCAAACAGGCTTTACGATTAGCAGGCAGCACTGAACTATTTTAGATATCATTGTTGAGCAACATATAAATAAAACACTAAAATAATCAATTTAATTTGTCGGACAACAAAAAACCGTATAGATTATAAAACTAATCATAATAATTAGGCAATAATAATTGATTGTGTTATGATAGTATGTATAAGAATAATCAAGATATAG